GAGGCCCCCACGAGTTGCCACCGAAGGGCCGAAGTAGACTGGGTCGGAGGATCCCGCCGCATCGCCGACGCATGGGCGATGCGCTTCGATGTGCAGGCCGATGGGCTCCACCAGCCGAGGCGCCCATGCACCACCAGCGTCGCCGCTGCGCCGCCGAGGCGGCGCGATCCTCCGACACCACCTACTCGGATCCCGTGTCGGAGGCCCGCAGACCTGCGTGGCTCGACACGGGCGAGCCTGCCCGGGCCGGGGCGCTCCAGCCAGGGCCTCTCGCCTTCGAGGGGGCGCCGAGGAGTGGGCGGCGCAGCAGATCGGAGGCCTGGAAATTGGCACCAACACCAGCACAGGGGGTTGCCTCCACATGGGAATTCTGATCCTAAATTTCGGTGTTGGTGGTAATATTTCGGTCACCTTGGAAGCCAGTATATTGCCACCATCACCGAGATCGGGATCGTCTTCCTTCGGTGGAGGCACACCACCGATCTTGGTGTTGGTGTCAACCTCTAGGCCTGCGAGCAGAGAAGAGTGCCGGAGAGCGGGACCGGAGGGAAGCGAGGAGGCGGCGCCGCCCGCAGCAGGTCTGGCGGGAGGCGGCGGAAGCAATCCTTTGCCACCCGGAGGTTTGCCAACTTTTTTTCCAAAGCCTCCTCCTCCTCCTCCTCCTCCTCCTCCTCCTCCTGGCCCCCGAGCCTTCGAGCCCTCCCCGCTGGGTCTTCGCTTTGAATAGAGCACTGCGGTCGCGTCTTCTCCTCCTCCTCCTCTTCCCGCCTCCCGCCCTGTGCGTGCCTCTCGTGTGCGAATCTCGCCTGCGCTACCTCTTGTGTGTGCATCTTGCCTGGGGGGTCACGATCTGCGAAACTGTCGCCAGTTTAGAGGGCTGATGGGGGGGACAGCATAGTGGGTAGCCGCCGCGGACCCAACTGAGACCTCGCCATCTCTGGGGGGCTGCGATTTGCGAAACTGTCGCCACTTTCGAGGGCTGCTGGGGGGGACAACGTAGTGGGTAGCCGCCGCGGACCCAATGTAGACCTCGCCATCTCTGGGGGGCTGCGATTTGCGAAACTGTCGCCACTTTCGAGGGCTGCTGGTCATCCCTGGGGGGCTGCGATTTGCGAAACTGTCGCCACTTTCGAAGGCTGGGGGCAGCATCGTGAGTAGCCGCCGCGGATCCAAAGTAGACCTCGCCATCCCTGGGGGGGGGTCTGCGATTTGCAAACGAAACTGTCGACACTTTCGAGGGCTGCTTGGGGGGCCAGCTATAGTGGGTAGCCGCCGCAGATCCAAATTAGACCTCGTCATCCCTGGGGGCGATTTGCGAAATGGTCGCCACTTTCGAGGGCTGCTTGGGGGGCAAGCATAGCGATCTGCGAAACTGTCGCCACTTCCGAGGGCTGCTGGTGAGAGAGGCACCGCGCAGATCTCAGCGAGACCTCGCCATCCCTGGGGGGCTGCGATCTGCGAAACAGTCGCCACTTTCAAGGGCTGCTGGCGGGTCCAGCGGGATGAGGCACCGCGCAGATCTGAGCGAGACCTCGCCGTCCATGGGGGGCTGCGATCTGCGAAACCGTCGCTACTTTTGAAGGCTGGTGGCGGGTTCAGCGGAGTGAGGCACCGCGCAGATCTGAGCGAGACCTCGCAATCCCTGGGGGGCTGCGAGCCTCACAAATGCCGCTCGTATATGCGCTCATGTCACGCCATCACCTCCGTATATTTTCTCCCAAGCTATTCGTGCCCCGCATTGCGCAGGGGTTGGGTACGTCGCCAGGGTAATTTATCTGGGTTCCAGACTGGCCACGGGGGGCAGTTTTCGAGCCCGGGAGCCATCACAACTATCGAATAGCATTCGGCCCATCCCGCTTCTGTGTCTGGGATGCCGGTCAGAGTCCTCAGGGATGCTTCTTGGGGTCTCGTCGGGGTGTTCTCGGCGGCATCTGTGGGGGCAGTTTTGGGGTCTGTTGGGATCCTTTGGAGGACCTCTTGTGGGGCCTCCTGAGGGCCTCTCGGGAGCCTCTTGGGACCTCTTGGGGGCCTCTTGGGGGCTTCCTACGGCAACAACGGCCACGGTCTTCCGATTCGGCTGGATGGTCGAGGCGGACGGGAATCGCACCCAGCAGACAACGCCTGCTGGGAAGCGGATTCTTCCCTCCGCTGGTCGCGCGGGTTCTGGGTGCAGCAACTAAACTCGATCTGGAGAAACTCGGCCAGTCACCGTCCATCAAACCACCCCAACCCAACCCGAAGGCTCCGATTTTCCCTCCATTTCCAGTGGGGGGGTCGGGGAACATTGAAAAACAAACATATGAAACCCGCCCCCCCCCCAAAAAAAAAAGAACCCGAAATTCGGGCGAAATTCTGGTTTTCGGGTTGGGTTGGGGTGGTCTGGTAAGTAGTCAGCCAGGTTCTGGGCCAGGCTGAACTCGGCCAGGCGAACTCGACCAAGCGATCTCGGCCATGCTGACCCTAGCCAGGCTGAGCTTGGTCAGGCTGCAGTCGGCCTTGATGGGCTTGTTTTCCACAACCGCCACCATAAGTTGAATGGCGGAAGGAGGAGGCCGACGAGGAGGAGGAGGAGGACGAGGAGCAGGAGGAGGAGGAGGAGGAGGAGGAGGAGGAGGAGAACGAGGAGGAGGTGTAGGAGGAGGAGGAGGAGGAGGAGGAGGAGGAGGAGGAGGAGGAGGAGGAGGACCCCTCCCCCTCCAACTTATGGTGGTGTTGGTGGAAGAGAGGCCCATCAGGCCTGGGCCGAGTTCAGCCTGGCCGAGTTCAGATTGGTCGAGTCTAGCCTGGCCGAGTTTCGCCTGGCCGAGTCTTTCCTTTGTCCAGGGGAGCGGCACCAAACATGCAGCTCGTGCCCCGAGGGAGGTCTAATCTGCAGGGGCGGTGCTCCGTTGGGGTGATGACGTAGAAAGTCGGAGGATGAAAAGGTACCCATACGGCTACCCTTCCCTGTTTTCCGTTCTTCGGGCCTCCTGGGAGATCGCCACCGTTGGATTCGCCTCGAAATGTTTGTCCCGAGTGCACCCTGAAATCTTGTCCCGCCTTTTGGGTGGTGAGGTAGAAGGACGGGGCCGAGATGTCCTGGGCACCGACGAGCCTTTGCGGCGAGTGTTTGGAGAGGGGCGCAAGCGGGCAGGCCTATTGGATGAGAAGAAGTAGGCTGCAGGTATTGGTGATTTTGAGTCAGCACTTACGAGTTGTCACCCGCAGAGACGTCTGCCGTGCACCGCGCAGTGAGCCGTTCGTGGTGCCTCGTAACATCGATAGGCGGATGGCACTTAATGCGAAGGGTCCCGACCACAGTGTTTCCACAACGTTTCTGCTTCCATCCCCCCTTTGCCACGTTTGTTTTACGCTATTTTCACGGGGACGTATTGGATGAGGAGAAGCCGCTCCTGGGCGTTCCAGGGCGCCCCCCAGGGCGCTCCCTGGAACGGCGGCGGTGACCGATGCCACGTATATCCCGTACCCTGCGCATTGTGCGCCGGCGTCTTTGCGCAGGCAGCAGGCGCGCCGCCCCAGGAGGACTGGAATTCTCAGGTTGCAGCCGCCTGCCGCCGGTCGTGTGGCGCAGGGACTGTTTCGTCTGTGTCGACATTTTCGCGCATGCTTCTCGCGTGGGGCCGCGCACAAGCGTGCTCGCGCCCACGTGGTGTGCCGCGCTGGCGGACAGTGCAAGCCGCGCCCTTAAGTTCGCGATGTGTTCTTGCGTGAGACCCATTGGTGTTCGTCGCTCAACTGCCAACCATCTACGGGGCTTGCTTTATCCGACCATCCAGTATTGCCACGACACCAATGCGCTTCGAAAGAATACGCGGATCAAGGTTTCTGCGAATAGTTCTGCCCTCGGAGCTTTCACCAGACCACAGGTAGGGGAATAGGCACCCTATGAAATGATGTAAAGCGTCCCGGACGCTATCCAGTTCCCCTCTTCAACAGGACAGTCAATAGTCGGTTCGGGACGAAAAGCAGGCTCTTGGGATCCGTCGTGGTCCAGTCCGATCCGTTCCGCGGATACTTCGTTGTGCAGTCCAGTTCAGTACTGCACGTAGGGAAATCGAACAGCCAAACGCTGATCAGAGCGGCAGCATGCGAATTCGCGCGGCCAAACGCTGAAGCAAAGATGAAGGCGATGGATGACGACGACGATGGATGACGACGTGAGCCACCTTAGGTAGCCACCCATGGAAACCATGCATATTCTCGTGACTAGCGCGTGCTAGCGTCCAGTCGTCTATGGGAGCATTCAGATTTAGCCGCGATTAGCGTCGATTAGCGCTGGCTGGCGTCGTTTAGCGTCGATCCACACTTCCAGCAAGATGACGTGGGAGGCTGTCATAACGTGCCACAGCTTATCAGAATTTAGTACAGTCCAACCCAGTCCAAGATGAAGACGATGGATGACGACGATGACTGATGGCGACGTGATCCGTCGTGGGTATCCGAGGCGGGGAGTTCTCCACAACCACCGCCTGGGGAGGCGATCTTCGCGTACCTCGGCAGGCCTTGGATATGGATACGGTCGAGCAGGGCTGGACCTGAGCGTTGTTTTTCGTTCTGTGTTAGTTTGTTGCTCGTGTTTCTCTACCTGTATTCCTGTACCTCCCCCCCTAAAGCGCAAAACAGAACACAACCGCAATCCAGCACAGCGGCGTTCAGGTCCAGCCCTGCGGTCGGGCCCCTCGGTGGTACAACTGTGCGTCCGC